CCCACTGAGCGTGAATCGGGCGGTGACCCTCCCGGGACAGAAGCGAAAACGCCAGCCAGATCCTGACGCCTAGCGGTGACGTCTGCGCGGTTGGCCCCGCTCGGAGTGTAGCCAGGGAGGCCATACTGTCCGTGCATATCACGATGGGGATGTCGCGGTCTCGTGGGTTGTCGAGCAGGTGCTCAAGCCCGGACGCCAGGGCGAGCATCTCTGCTCGGTAGCTGGAGCAGTGTCGTCCGGCCGGTGTCTTCGGGTCTTCCTCCTCCCCGTCCGACCAGATGACCACAGCTCCAGAGCCTCCGTCCTTGACGCCACCCTCAACGGAGCCGACCGTCCACAACCAGGTTGCTCTCTGTGGCAGAGCGGCAAGATGTCGGGCGGCAGCCCGTACCGTCTCTCCGTCTGTCGCACTGGTTCATAATGGCCCCACATCCAGGCAGAAGGCGACGTTTCCTCCGCGCTCCCACGGCGGGATACGGGGAGGCAGTACCGGCTCGATCGGTGCGGTGGCCTCCGCCTCGACCAGCATCTGGTGGCCTAGCGTTCGCCACCCCGCACAGAAGACAGTCGCGAGGGAGCCGAGGCCTCGGCTGTCCTGCGCAGGGGGTCGGTCGGCGGTAACGCCAGGGCATGACCCAGTAGGCGAGCGGCGAGGACTTTCTTCCGCTCCTCCATGGGGGCCAGCCCCGCCTCCGCCATCACCGCGTGTGTCGGCGTGGAGCGGGGGCATCCCACCTTCAAAAAAGTTAATGAATTGGCATGAAAGTGATGTCGCTCGATTCAGACAGAGCAAAAACGAATATCTGGGTGTCCGTCAAAATTCGTGGAGATATGCTGTCCCACGATTTCAATAATGCCTCACGTCAATAAATGAGCTTATTTTAGCGTAACACGGGTTCGTACGCGAGATTTGGACATTTGATTGAAGAAAAAAAATCATTGAAAAGGCAACAGCAAAGTGGCAAAAAAAAATCTGGACATCTTTCCAAAACCGTGCTTTTGTGTGCCTATGTATTTTAGCTTGTCCCACAACCTGCGAAAAAAATCAACAGAGCTGCTGTGTAGTTATTTTTAGAGATAATTGAGCACGAGGAGCGTTGTGAATAGCAAAAACATTGAAATTTCTCTTCATGGTTCTTATTTTTTGGTTATACAATTTAGCAAAACTGCACAACGCAAAAACGTCTGTCCCACGGTTTTTGGCAAACTTTTTTCTGGGTCACGTTTGTTTCTGGGTCACGGTACTTAGCTCCTCATTCAAAGCATTACGGACCGGGTAAACAGGGACTGCAGACTTGCATATGGTCCTATCCCGCGAAGGCGCAGAGAGCGGGGGCGGAAACTGAAAATGTCAGTTGGGCTGGGCGAACCCAGGGGAAATCATCTCCTGCGTGCCATAAGATTTCTTTATTCTGGGTCACACGCCCTTGTGGCGTGTGGCTGGTAAGTGTTGAAAAGAATCACAGTGTCGTGTTGCTGCGTGCTCAGGTACTCCAGATAAGATGTACTTGGAGATTACCTAGTATTCGATAACAAACTTGCCATATTCGGAAAACTGTAAAAACCATTCCCCTGGGTCACGCATTTTTTTTCTTCTGGGTCACGAATTTTAGCGTGCCCCAGGAAAAAAATCGTGATCCAGAAGAGAAATTCTGCCCACCTATATCATCAAGACATGCAAGTCTTTCCGCCTACGTGTGGAGGTCATTGCCGATAAGGGGTTATATCGCGCATGAGGTGAGTGAACGTATCTGGTTTGATAATGCGTGACCCAGAAGAAAATTTTATTTTTTTGGGTCACGGACCATTTTACGCGCATGCGCAATGGCATTTTTGAATAATTTCAACTGTGAACAGCCTAGGATGCATGGTTTATGAAAAGGTAATGATTTCTAGGAAATCAGTTGTGGGACAAATATCGACCCAAATCTCCACGAATTTTGACGGTTACCCATCTACCAAATTTCACCGAAAAATATTCACCGGTTTTCAAGATATTAGACTTTTACTTTTGTTTACTTTTTGGGATCTCCGCTGTTCCTAGCGACTTCATTTTGGAAGTGCGGCGTTCGCGGCAGATGTTGCGCGCAAATAGCATATACCACCACTGCTTTACAAAGATGTTAGCATAAGGTTTTAAAATCGTTAAATCACCGCTGACGTCACAAATTCTAAGGGGGCATCTCAATGCATTAGCCCCTTAGAATCCGAAAACTGCAAGTTTGAAATTCCATATCTCCGAATTAAAGCATTTTTCGATGTTGTGAGCAGGGCTGCGGAGTCGATGGATTTTCGGCGACTCCGACTCCGACTCCGGCTTCAAAAAACCAGCTCCGACTCCGACTCCGACTCCGGGCAGAATTGTCGACTCCGACCGACTCCAACTCCCGACTCCGACTCCGCAGACCTAGCAGGGCTGCGGAGTCGACAGATTTTCGGTGACTCCGACTCCGACTCGGGCTCGGGTTTCTAAAATCGACTCCGACTCCGACTCCGACTCCGGTCACAACTGTCGACTCCGACCGACTCCGACTCCGACTCCGACTCCGACTCCGCATCCCTGGTTGTGAGTGCCCAAACCGGTATTTGCAGGCCATGGCCACCAATTTGGCTATCTCAACTCAAAACTAATGTTAAGGTGGGATTGTCACTTTAATCAAGTGGAGGAGGGCTCTGCGCGCCACCGGCCCGAGATAGGTACTTGATCATCTCGTTGCTGATCCCGTCTGGTCCTGGTGACTTCTTCAGTTGGATAAGTTGTATCTCTCTGATCAGCTCTTCCTCGGAGAGTGGCGAGCAGCACCCGGTGTGGTCGCCGTCACAGTCGGCGCAGCGACGCGGGCTGAAGTCCGACAGTGGTCGTCACGCGGCTCGGTCGATCTTCGGCGCCCTCACCTGGCGAGAGACATGGGCGTACTGGCGGCAAACGCGTTGGCCTTCTCCTCGGCTGTTACGAGCAACCGGTCTCCGATCCGATCCGCATCGCCTCGCCCTCTCGGTGGTCGTCGTCCACGGCGCCCTCCCGCTTCTTCAGGAGCCGGGAGACTCGGCCCACGCTGGTAGGTCGGTTCAGCTCGGTGGTAACGAAGTCCCAGAATTGCTCCCTGGTAACTCACTTCTCCACCTGGTTGGCCCGGCGCTTAGCCTCGATCCAGCGTGTTTTCGATTGTGGGTCTCCCGACTTCACATTGTCTCTGGCTGCCCGGCGTTCCTGAATCACCAGCTGGAGGTCCGGGTGGAGAGCCCACGGATTGGCGTCTCTCCTCGCTCCCCGGGGAATGAACTCCTTTGCGGCGTCCTGGACTGCTGAAGCAAATCGGGTGGTCAGAAGTTGAACCGTAGCCTGTGGGGCTACGGTTCAACTTCTACGGTTCAACAAGCCGACTGCCTCGCCAACCAAGCCGCCGCCGACTGCGCTCAAGCGGAGGCCCCGATCGACCTCTCCAGTGCGCGGCAGCCATCCGCCGCTGGACATGGAGTTGGCATCCGCGGCACCCTCATCGAGATCCCACTCCGAGCCACGATGAGCTGGACGGGTGGGACCAGAGGGGTGTTCACGGGCACCGCACACTGCTGCGTGCGCTGTGTGCGGTGCGTCCAGCAGGCGTGGGGGTAGGGGATGGGTAGGCGGCTCTGACGTCACGGCTGCGTGCGGTGGACGGTCCGCTGTGGCCAGTCCCGACCGGCCACAGCGATCGCTGTGTGCGGTGACGGAAGGCTGACGTAGGGACGCAGTGGGCGGAGCTTGGAGGCTGTGTGCGGTCCGACCGCACACAGGGCCCGTGAACAGCCCTCAGGTCACCTTGTCCCAGCTCAGCACCGGCTACTGTCCACTGGTGCGAGTCACAGCTCATCGCCTCGGCCTGGTCGCAGATCCGACCTGCCGAGCCTGCGGCGAGGAGGAGGAGGACGTGGAGCACGTCCTGGCCGGGTGCCCCGTACACGTAACGGCGAGGGCCGGCTTCTGGGGGCACTGTCCGACCCTGGCGGAAATGCTCTCGGGGCCGGCCCATCAAGAGAGTGGGGCGGGTTCAGGTCGCCACCGACCCGCCCCCGCCGGCCACGCTCTAGGCAGAAGAAGCGCAGACTCTATATGAGCCTTCGGTGCAGATAGACCAGTGTTGTAATGTTAACTCTGCTGAGGTGTTGATATTTTCATTAAGGTTAGGTGGAATGATCCGAACCGCGAATCCAAAGCTCTACCATGTTATCTACAGGAAGGAGTAGTTATATTCCTTTTCTAATGAATTTGTATGCTGATGACTGGGGAGTAAGGAAGTTCAGTTATCATTCCTGAAAAACATTTACCCCTGTTGGGTTGTAAATATGGGCAAATACGAGCTAACCCTGCGTTCGATGTCTCTCGGATGACGAACATTCTACACCGTCCGGCCAATCACGTTCCATAACTGCAGCCGAGCCCCCGCTGACCTTAACTGGGATTGGCCGGACGACAGAATCTTTGTCGTCCAATGCTGGGTAAGTCTGGGAAGAACCGAAGAAGGAGCCAGGAAGAAATAATATTGATAAAGTTGATCGTCAGTGAAATTTAATGTGCGCCAACAAGTTTTCTCAGTAATTCAGCTCAAGCTAGCAATTCCATGCTGTGTTCGAAGAGAGGTTTACAGTGAGGGTCAAACTCAAATAAAACAAACTATACCTACTTACTTGATACTTTCTACACAAACCATGTAAAACTTACACCGCAACCACCTGACACAATGAGCCATGTAAGGAGTTGGGTAAGAATGAGACCTAGGTACATTATATACTAATACATTAGACACTAGGGATATGCCAGGCATTTTTCTGATATTGATAATATTGACACCATCATGGGCCAATTTTTACCTGAATTTGAAATTTGAATTGCAATATCCATGACATTGACATCTCAAGCTGACTCAATCCAGTCCTCCAGTCCCGTTCCTCAACCAGTCATGAGTCAGTAACAATGGGCATTGCCTTTGGCGCCCTTGTCCTGCCCTGGTCCCTCTTACCTTGACCTCCCAGTGCCAACTATGGCTGCTGAGATAGATTTATCGGTATTTATTTACTTTCGGACCGGCAGCCTTTACTTTCGTTGCGAACCTGAACCTCAAATGATAGTAAAAAGCATATCACATGACATAATTTGACCTCCTGATTTCAAAGCTGATAGTTATTCATGGCACAAACAAGTTTAAAGTAAATATTTACCTCCTTAGTCCTCCGATTTATCTCCTTAGTACTTATTAGCCACGGTTCAACTATGTTTTAGGGCCTTGGGTTCAACCAAGGCTATATAAACCGTTCAACCACGGTTATTAGGGACGTTATTAGCGACGACGGTGAAAACAGGGCGCCTGGGGCGGTTTGATCGAGGTTCGTGAAATTCACACGTGACGTTTAGCATATAGAAAACCCATGGAGGGGGGAGAAGCTGTAAATGTCACGTGACTAATATGCCCTCCGGCGCCCTGTTTTCACCGGCGTCCGTTATTAGCAGGCTAGGAGCAATGGGAGCAATATACGAAACGCGCCATATTTAGTCTAATTTCAACGTTACAATTATCTTCTAAACGTGCTTTACTACTTGGTCCTATTACGTATTTATGACGTCTTTGAATACAATGCCCGACTCAAGATACTTACAGATAGCCCGACTATATGAATCTTGGCCCGGCCCAGGGTATATTGGGAGCTACCCAGTAAACATGCCGACGTCTGCCAGACGTCGGCTGGAATTGGACCTCAGCAATTGATCTCGGTCCGACGTCGGCTGGACCTCGTCTGGACGTCGGTACATGCGGGCAGAGGCGGATCCAGCTCAGAGTTTTTTTTTTGGGGGGGGGCAAACCATAACAATTTATCTATTCTTTCAATGCCTCGTCCATAGGCGTAATGTTAAAATCATGCCGTTTGGGGGGGGGGGGGCAAATGCCCATTTTGCCCCCCCCCCCCTGGATCCGCCACTGCATGCGGGCGTACCAGACATCCAGCCGACGTCGTGCCGAGGTCGGGCCGACGTCGGCATGCCGATGCCGAGATGCCGACGTCACCCCGATGTTTGTCGACGTCGGGCCGACGTCGGCATGTTTACTGGGTAAATGTTGGCATAGCTGATCTTTGATTCAAGCCGGATATTTTAATTTCAACCGCACAGGCATTCTCCAAGGCCGCTAATACCTACCTGTAACGTATTCTCTATTCATGGTCACCGTCACTCAGATCATAGATAATTCACGTCATACGGAGCCTGTGCAGTGTGCAGTGTCGCGACCTCGCAACACTCGACCGCAAGTCGCAACTACCAACAGATTCCTAGCAGGATAATAGACCAGTCAATCACAGAACCTACCGGTTTTCTGAAGGAGGATGGGGCGGGTATAGCTCAATGCATCCCCCCCCCTCCCCCACCACCACCACCACCACTACCACCGTTTCGACAGCTAATGGAGCTTGAGCTCCGCGAGAGAAAAAAAAGGCGTGCGTGCGGTTCCGAGGTGCAGCGACAAGTACCTGCTTTGCTTCAGGTAAACCAGTGACTTCTGGGTTCATGTCTTTAAAGGCTTTAAAGGAGGTCCACATACACATGTTCTGCAGATATATTAGCCTGCATATATCGCTGTGTGCGCCACCAGGAGACAGCACTATCGCCCAGCAGACCAGACGCCGCACATCGACGAACGGTCACGGCTGACGCTCGCCCCTCGCGAATCCAATGCGTCCAATCGCGCCCTGCACCTGTAGGAGTCGCGCTCGCCGGCGCTCTCACAGACACCGTAGACGCCAGCAGTCCCGGCGGCCCCCGCTGACGTCAGAGCTGGCAGGCGCGCACCATCACCATGTTCAGGATGACAAACAGCGGAGCCATCACCTCAGAGTACTCGAAGCCGATGTTGTCGGTCAGCTTGCGCACCAGCAGGTACTTGAAGGTGAACATCTGTGAAGCAAACAAAAAGCACACCTTATTTTCACACCAAGATAATTGGAGGCATTTTGCTACATGGCACGGGGGTGTTGATGGGTTAACAGTTGTCACCTAATTCACGCGTGACAACTGTTAATGTATACAAGTAAGTGTATAATTGAAGTGATTAAGGATTAGTAATTTAAATGTAATTTAGCCATGGAGACCGCAATGCACATCACAGACGGTTCGTTTAACGACAAAGCCCCCCATAACGAAAGCCTCAACCGCAGGCATGTGGCGACCCGTCTCACCAGCGATAGGACGAAAAAGCTCCAGAGGGCGCGCATGGCGGCGGGCTTGTGCCAGCCGTCGATGTAGGTGCGTATCAGCATGATGACGCACACGTAGGCCGAGAGTGCGTCGCTGACAAAGAAGGGCGTCATGGCGTGCCAGCAGGTGATTGCTCCCGGGAACAGGTCACGCAGCATCATCAGGATGGTGAAGACGAGCGCGGCCGCCAGCTGCAGCCAGATCTCGAACGGCGTGAGTCCCAGCCACTGCGTCAGCTCCTTCACTGAGAGGATCATTGCCAACGACGGCACGAGTCCGAGTCAGTGTCCCGTTTCCTACGAATCACGATAGCGCTCCCACGCACAGTCACACAGCCGGAAATAACACCAACCGTGTTGTCTCTGCGATCGGACGTCCGAGCCGTCTCGAATGTGCTCGTTATCCCTGTCAGCAGTTCACCGGTTCGCAGTCTGCGGCACACCACCACCACCTGCCGTGCCGCTCAGGCCAGCACGGTCTTGGCCAGCCGGATGTGGATGGCGCTGACACTGCGCGTCTGCGTGCGCGCCGGCCGCTGCTCGTCGCGCGCCACCAGGTCGTCCACCACGCGCTGCGTGGACGTGTTGGTCGCCACCGAGAGCGTGTTTCGGTGGTTTATGTTCAGCTGCAGCGCTAGGTTGATGGCGCGCGGGCTCGCCGCACCCATCCCATGAATAAATATTTCGGTGTAGCCTTTTTCAAAAAGTCGTTCACAGCGCACAAGCTGAGCCTGAAATATGAGACAGTGACGCGTGAATAATAAGCTGCCCGTTTCACCGCGATCCGGAACCAGACATTTTTTGTTATTTTGTTTGTGCATGTTACGAGGGCAATAATAAATACCTGATTTTGTTGACGCATAACACTGTGTTGCGTTTCACGGACACCGAGTTTGACAATTGGAATCTTGTAAACCACATACTATATGTTGTCTAATAGAAATAGCTCATATTGGATGGAAAATGGTTGGATAGGTAGGAACATATTAAAAACATACCAACCTTAAAATTTGACTTTTTGTTTACATATACATCATTAGACCTTCTAGGAAGTTTTCTTGGCAGTCTTTTCTTCAGCTGATACTCATCTTGGGTCAACTCGTCCTCTTTATCAATAGTTCCATGATTCACTTCCTTCGATTCTTCAACATCAGCCATTATGGGTGCATTTTGATTATAAATTGACAATTGCAGCTCATGGGAATATCAAAAGTCCTGAAACACAAGGATATTCATCAGTTTTCACTACCTGACGGCTGACACTCATTATCATTCACTCATTTTAGCTTAGTAGGTAGCTAGTTAATCTTTTACTCAAGTCATTTTGATTTACTCCATCAGTAACTAACAGCTTGACTGTCCAACAGTGCAGTTGAGAGTTTGCATTTGGCAAAGCATCAGACTCCCAGATTTTAATGGTGATGATAATGATTTAGCTTGCTCTCAAATAACTATAATGATAAAGGTTGCTTGGTAGCAAGGCTATCTTGGAAGTGCTGAAAAAATAATGCCTTACTTTGATTATCTTGGAAATAAAGGGATACGGGATCATTAGTTAGGTACTGGATGTAGTAATAAAAGCTTAGTTATCAACTTTCACAAAAACAATAATTATATAACTAACGGTAACTCATACTAAGCGATACTAAGCGAGGGCCTTGAGAACTAACCATCACAATTCATTTACAATTAATAATCCCATCCCTCCTCCCAACACGTCAAGCAACACGTCCTCCCATCCAGACTCATCCACCAAGACAAAGAGTCTCCCATCCTCATCCACAGTCACTGAACTCAAACCCTATAGATTTCGAAGTAAGCGTAGTCTCACCCTATTTCTATGTTGTTTCTAGGCAGGTAGGTCCGCTGAATGTGAATCTAAATGTGAATATGATGCAACTATACGCGCATGTCCGGTAGGTCTTTATTATAGATAGGTCTTTATTGCTATTTATTTCTATGAATCAGCTGACTACCAATAAAATAAACAGTGAACATAAATATAAATGCTATGTAGGTCATCTTTTCGAAAACTTTCATAAAGTGACGTCATTGGTTATTTTTCGTGCGACAAATCACAGCTGTTACAGGACTCACTTAGACAAAATGAAGCAACTAATTGTTCTGATTTCCAACCTAGCATTTTATTTTCTTACCTAATGTAGAATATCCAAGACAGTTAGGATAAATGATAACAATAACACGTCAAATGTATATTTAAACACACAAAGCTTTCGTGTGTGTGTTTTCGTGTGTGTCACAAAACACACAAAGCTTTCACAAAGCTTGGTCACTGTGTTAACAGAAATGAGGACAGAAATTTTCTTACCATTTTCTTACCTAAACCATTTAATTAACCATTTTCTTACCTAAACTAACCCTCAAACAAGGAAGCATAACTTAGCCATTTTACTTTTGCAATATTCTTCAAGAAACCTATTTGTACTTTTGACGTCATATCCTATCTATCTGACGATGATCAATGTTACAGTTAGCGACGTTTTGACGAAAACGACGCAAGAAGTTGAACATTTGCTAACCCCGCGTTCGATGTCTCGCGGACGACGAAGGTTCTATGCCGTCCGGCCAATCACGTTCCATAACCGCAGCCGAGCCCCCGCTGACCTTGAACGGGATTGGCCGGACGGCGTAGAATCTTCGTCGTCCGTGAGACATCGAACGCGGGGTAAGTTTGAGTCGGTGATTAGCACAGATCATGCAAATTTCACTCAGGTTTTTCCAATGAGAACTGAGAAGCCAAGAAATCGAAGTGTGCTGATAAATGGGAATGGTTTAGTTATCGAGGTGTGGCCTTACATCCATTGTATTATTTTATTTATAGGTACATTCCAATTCTGGTATTTTATGCTTGATTTTGTGCATATTGATATAGGCACTGCTTCCTCTGTGGTGTGAGTTTCCATGATCAGTATGCCATATTTCTGCTGTCATTTGGTCGTATCAGTATTGGAGGCCCAGACTGGCAAAATTCCACGTTATGCCGAATATGTCCGGCGTAGTGATGGGATTGCGCCAAAACTTTCAGCGCACGTCCGGCATAACATCGCATGCGCCGAATTCAGCGCATAGCAGCAGACAAATTTTTCGACGCAGGGTGGTCGCATAATTTTTTTGGCGAAAGGTCACCGAATTTATGCGGTACGCTGGTCAATCTAGCAGCAGATTCACCCCGCGGGCGGCTCTGGAGAGGTTGCGGGACGAGATGTCCCCGCCCCGGTCGTCGCGTGCTCGAACTGGCGAGCCGCCCTGAGTCTACTCAGCGGAGGAAAGGCCGCCCAGGTGAGGCCTCAACCCTCGGCGTGGAGATTGGTATGGAAAACCTTGTTGAACGTCGCCAAGCATCGTTAAGCAATAGCAGTGGCCTGCCCACTGCAGTATCGAGGGGAATGAGAGCGCGGACGACCTGGCAAAACTGGCGGCCGCCCGGCCCTCAAACGCCCGATCACTGACCAGGGCAGTTCATTGTGCGGCCTCGCATCAGTGGCGCGACAACTGCTCAGAATCAAGGCCCTAAATACAGCTCAGAATCAGAATCACTATTCAAGACACTCCTCGGGAGCACGCCGCCGCTCCCTATCCCCGGAGAGGACCGAGAGGATGCCTTTTCGGTGCACCAGATGAGGGCGGGCCACCGGGGCCGCTCGCTCCAGTACAGCGTCGAATCGGCTGTCGCCACTCCGCCGCGTGCCAGCAGTGCTCAAGCGGTGCCCAGCGGCGCTCTGCACCGTGAGCCGAGAAGAGGCTGATGTGCCGGAGCACGTGCTGCTCCGCTGCCCGGCCCTCGCTGGCTCCCGCCGAGGTATCGGGTTTACGTGGAAATAAAGTTGATATAGTCTTGATCAGTAGATGTGCACGTGTGCTTTCTTTATTTAGTCGGACCTCTCTCTAACGGGCTCATGTCCCAATTATAGGAGAGAGCACCTGCTCCTCCCTCTGTCCTATTCCCCACCCCCCAGGCTACGGCTGAAGTGGGAGCCTACCCCACACCTGGTGACGCAGCCGGGGACGACGCCCGCGGAACGGGCGGAACCCGGAATCGAACCCGAAACCCGGCGCCGCCCGCACCGCGGGTCGACGCCTTAACCGACTGCGCCACCAGGGCCGCTATATGAAAAGGGCTTAATTTTCGCACAAATAGGCACCTAATTTTGGCGCAAATCGCAGAAATGTTAGCTGCACAAGTACCTACTTGTGCTATCTATATGCAGCTGACCTAGGCCCTGTTTCACTGGTGATAGCAGCACGCTGCTATCACACGTCAAATTGGGTTTCCATGGAAACATTAACCAGCCATGACGCCGTCAATCTGTGTGATGTCATCAAATATTGCTGCCAACATCTTCACGGCCGTGCGATCAAACAAATGTGTCAAACGCAATTCAACGAGACAGCATTTCTGTTCCAAACGCAGCTCACGGATTACACAAAACGTCATTAGTTCATCATCACATTACGTCAGCTCGCGCAATTTGATAGTAGCGTGCTGCTATCACCGGTGAAACAGGGCCCTAGTATTGTTCAGCAAAGAGATCCCAGTCTTCCTTGCAGCCTCATGTATGTACCTGCAAATTTCACCCAGTGCTGTTCACTGTTAAGTTAGGGAAGGGGATGTGGATTTTATACCAAGGTCTGTGTTTTAACAAAATACTGACATTCTTGCACTATCAGGTACTTACCAAGACGTGTCAAAGCTCCAACATGTGATGTGTCACTTGTCAGAATAATTTTGAGTTAGTGGTGGTTATAACTTTGTGCTTTTTTTCACAGATTTCATAGGCTCCAAATCTATAGCTGGTCCCACAAGGATGGCATCAGAGAAAAAAGGACAGCTTTTTAGAGAAAATGCAGATATTTCAAGACTGATCACTGGTCATGCAGTAAATAACACTGGTGATAACAAGAGTGCTCTACATGCATATGAGGTAATGTTTCAATTTGATATTGTGTTGTCATTATATTAGTACCTACTTATTTATTTCTGCATATTAAGCTTACTTGTGCTTGATTAAACAGCTGGTTTTATTATTTGTCAGTTTGAATTGCATATTTCATCTCTTATATAATATTTTCCTTTAGTTACTGTTGCCTCCCAACTGCTTCCCTGCTGACGCCGCGGTTTGTCCCGGCTGCCGCTGGCCAGGTGGCGCTGAAGACGACGCACGACAAGTGCCAGAAGCAGGCGGAGCAGCTGCGCCAGCTGTCGGAGGAGGCGAGCCGCCAGCTGGCCGACAGAGCCGAGCTGCACGCCGAGATCGGCCGGCTGCGCGAGTCGGCCGGCCGGCAGCGCGAGCGGGCCGGCCAGCTGCACCGCCAGCTGGCCGCCAGTCACCGCGAGAGCAGCGCGCTGCGTCACCAGGTGGCTCTGCAGCAGCGGCAGCTGAGCGCCGCCCGGCGCCGCCTGCAGGAGGCCGGCCTGGCGCCACCCTCTCTGGAGCAGGCCAACCGCGGCTCCGACGAGATGGACGTACAGGTGAGCGGGGCCGGGCGGCCGACTCTGAGACGCGGCGGCGGGAGGACGGTGTGTGGTACAGGGCGAACAGGCACTGCGTTTGGGGACGAAGGAGAGACGCCTCCGGGAGCGGACGACCATCAGGATGGGGTTGAACTTTGCTTAGCATACTGAATCTGTGTCAGTTTGTGTCGCAATAAGTTATCTGAATTTTCGCGAACAGACTTGTGTTCTTGTAGAACGTGTTTAGGCTTGTCTTTGGCTCGATATTTGTAGGCTGGACCTCTCTCTGCTGAGTGGTCATCCTCCGTCCTCCAGTTATCAGTATTGGCGGCGCCAACCCCGCTGATCGCTCCCCCCCCCCCCTCCATGCGGCCAGCCTCCCCCAGCTGTCTGTGGCGGCGGCGGCGGAGCTAGTGTCGGGCCACTCCCGGTTGACTACTGCTGCTGACTGCTGCCCCCCTCCGTCCCCAGCTGTCTGTAGCGGCGGCGCCGGAGCTGTGTGACGCGGAGGACCGGTCGGACTCACCGGACATCAGCTCCATGACGGAGGAGGAGATCGCCCGGCGGCTGGTGCAGCTGCAGCGTGCCGGGCACCAGTCGCTCCAGCAGTCCTTCGACGAGGTGGTGAGTGTCCCCGGCGGCCCGCCGGCGTGCCACGGCAGCTCCTGACGCTGAACGCGCTGGGTGATATGTGGCCTCGTGTGGGTGCAGTCAGGAGCTATAGCTACTGATCCGAGCAGCACCAGCTGGCTGTCATTGTTAGCAAATGCACCATTACCATCGGTTGACTTTCGCAAAAGTGACACTCCGGTTTGTTTTGCAGTAGAAAAACGTAATTTGAACGGAAGGTATTTTAGTTACTAAACAAAACATTCGGTTATTTTGGTCAGGAACACTGACGAAGGTCGGGCCGGGCCCCGGGGTGAAGCAGTGCGCTATTTGCAGAGAAAAAAGTGTTCAAGGCGATGTAATTACCTACTGGGTTGCGTATAGTCGACTACAGAATGATGTTCCACTCCTCAGAAGCTATCAGTTGACCGGAGCGCTAAGTTGTGCCGTTTATCACGCAAGTAAGCGTGTCGATTGTGAGCATTGGGACAAAGCTATAATTTGTGAACTCAGCCCGTGTGATGCGGCACAGCCTACCACTCCAGGCAAATAATTGCCTGTGAAAAGTGGAACACCATTCTGTAGTCGATTATACCTACCCGAATAGTGAAGAAATACGAGGCCTTCGAGATAAATTCATAGGGAACGTGCCTATATCAATCACTATCATGAAGGCATAATTAAATTGTTTCCTCTCTTCTATATAATCCATACATTATTATCAAAGATGGACTAAAACTTCGTAATTGTTAAAAGGAAATGAAATAGGTGTGTTTACTTCCAACGTATAGGAAGTCTGTCGTTTAACTCTTTTCTGAGCCGGATTCCTTAACCAATATTAAGTCTGTCGTTTGATTTTTTAGCCGGAATCCTCAACCAATATCGAAATTAAACCGTTCGTTTGATCGAGATATCCAGCTTTCCGACGAACATTGAAAAACCGTGCCTCAGTTTTGCTGAAATACATTACTGCAATCAACTTCTGAGCTCAGTAATATAACATTGATATTATAGTATCACAGTGTGCAGTGTACCGGGGAATGTTAATACGGCAGATGGAGCGATGTTTTCCGCTGTGCGGGGTATCGGCGCGTTGCTGCGAGCCGCGGAGAAAGGCAGACTGGGGTACGCTCCGAGGCCTGAGCTGTTGTTGTTGTTGTTTGACCCCCCGGCTACCGCCGGGGCGGTAGCGTAGCCGACCGGCTCTTGTGGGCCATGTATCCGGCGGCCAAGGCCGCCACCACGTCGTCGCGCCGGACATCGTGGGCCGCGCCGATGATGTTGCCCAGCGCACGGAGCCGGGGACCGTACAGGCACGGGCACTCCAGCAACACGTGCGCCGGGGTGTCCGCTGCTTCAGAGCAGACTAGGCAGCGGCCCGCAGGGCATTCCTTGTCGTCGCATTGAGCGCACTCAGGTGTAGGTCTTCGACCAATCCGGTGGAGGTACTGCTCCGATCGGGCCCAGTGGCCAGACCGGAGCTGGTGGACCCGAGGCCTGAGCTCGGGTCAGGTGGTGGCGGACACGGCAGGGCGCTGAAAGACACGCCATTTCGCGCCATTCGTCGTTGTATGTTGCCGTGACAGTGTGGCAGGCGGGTGACCACCGAAATGCTGCCGTGCCTGATGATCTCTCTAAACGTTGTGCTTTGACGTGATATTCTGTCTTGTTCTGTTTTGAGATCCGATGGTGGCGTGCAGTAGTGGAGCTGTTGGAACGGCCATGAGCAAGTCATGAGACAGGGTAGCGTCAAACGTTTGAGGCAAATCAACGTGAACCCAGCTGTGAAAGTATTGATGATGTTGATGTACTTGTACAGTACAGTACAGCTTTATTCGCCCGCAGCAGCTCACATCAGCTCGAATGTGTTAGGTGTCGTTGCTAGGCAACCCGTGGGGTAAACGGCTTTTCGCTTTGTGTGATCAAATCGAATCGGTCTGCTCCTTTTTCGCTGATTCTGTTGTTGCTTGGTCATTACTAGCTGATACCTACTGCGCCGTGCGCACATTATGTGTGGTGCGTTCTGATCAGTGGTCTGGCAATATTTCCCTCGCAGATGTCCCAGTGAAGTATTAAGCCCTTTCGCTGGATCAGGTATTTACTACACAATTGTTTGTGGTATCAAGTTATATTTATTTCCGTCTGTCAAGCTACCCTTGCGCCCCTGACCTAAAACAGGCTGCCATGAGTGATAACCTCGCGCTGTGACCGCTGCTGACCGGGCCCCTCTGTCGGTGTCCGCTGCTGACCGGCGCCTGTGCTCTCTCTCCCGCAGCTGAGCGGCCTGCAGCGGGCGGCGGCCGTGGACGTCGCCGCCGCTCCCCGGCCGGCCCAGTTGTCTCAGGCTCTGCGGCGCAATAACGACCTCCTGCGGCGCAGCGTGGAGAGCCTGCGCCGCCTCCAACAGTCCGGTACGTAGCACACATCGGCGGACAGAGCCACTCGCTGTCACTCGCCGGATTGTTGAGATGTGGGTAAGATATGTCCGGGTGATAAGCAAACTCGGCCGAGGGAAATGACCGAGGTTGACCGAGGAAATGACCGAGGCCAAGGTCATATTAAAGAGAAGTTCTCGGTCCGTGTGTAGCAAACGGAAAAGTGTCATCGACATCTGGGTGTCTTGCGCCGGAACGGCGCCACGCAGGGGCGTGAAATTTGGCAGTCGACAAGCGCGGTGAAATCGAAAGCTCGTATCAAAATTGTGCGATTCGACCACGGGTGCGTCTCTGGCAGGATCGCGAGCACGAGGCACGTTCGCCATTGGTTTAGCACGGTGCGCGAAAAACGGCGACCTCGGCCGAAAGCAAACCGCAAACTCGCATGCGGGTTGCGAATTTGCGGGTTTTAATTTTGCGGGCATAATACTAATTCATAGAGTGATTAGACCGTTCCCTTATGGTATAGTAACTTCATGAATGCAGTGCAGCCGGTGCACCTTCAGAAAATTACATAAAGTCGCAATACCAGCGCAACGAACCAAAATTCGACTCCAACGAAAAACCCGCAAACCTCGCCGAACTCGCAGACCTCGCAGCGAGGAAAATCGAAAGTTGACTTAAAATAAGCTTTTGGAATGCGATATAAGGTGGCTCGTAAGCTAAAAACATGCAGACTCGCTTGCTACATGGTAGTGTGGGTCACTCAGCTTAGGTTGTATTATTTGATTTTGAAGAAACCCGGAAACCCAAAAACCCGCAACCCGCATGCGAGATCCAGTGTGGGGCGGCCTTTAAACGGTACTCACTTGGCTTAGACTCTGGTTGCAGCATTATACTCGTTCAAAACACTCGTGAAAATGCGTTAAAAACGAGCGCTGTGCCGGTAAATAATCCCTAGGAAGAGTGCTCCGTCGAACCAGACGAAGCTCCAGTAATTTCACAATAGCCGGCGGTGAGGCGCCACTCAGTGAGCTCAGTTGGACGAGCCCCGATCAATCACCCTCCGGCAATCCGCGCCGACCGGTTACCATGACTACCGGTCGAACGCCACCCGTTCCGGGGAGCGGCGAACGGCCGGACGCTGCGCCAGGGTGGGGCAGCTCCTGAAATGTGCTGGACCCTGCTCCTGACGGACTACTAGTGCGGGGCCCGGTCCCAGTCCCAGCTCCCGACTAACTACCAGTGCGGGATCCTACCTCCTGTGCCAGTGCGGAATCCTTCCTGTCTCCGGTACCAGTGCGGGATCCTGCATTCTGTACCAGTGTGGGATCCTGCCTTATGTACCAGTCTGGGATCCTGCCTTCTGTACCAGTCTGGGATCCTGCGGCCCTGCCTTCTGTACCAGTGTGGGATCCTGCCTCCTGTACCAGTGTAAGATCCTATTTCCGGTACCAGTGTGGGATCCTGTTCCCTGTGCCAGTGTGGGATCCTGTCTCCGGTACCAGTGTGGAATCCTGTCTCCGGTACCAGTGTAGGATCCTGTCTCCTGTGCCAGTATAGGATTCTGCCTTCTGTATCTGTACCAGTGTGAAATCCTGTCTCCGGTACCAGTGTGGAATCCTGTCTCCGGTACCAGTGTGTCACCCGGCGTGTTTGCTTTCGAAAGTGGATGCTACAGCATCACGCGCAAAGCGCGTGATTTTTGCCTATTCCAGCCTCATATATCACTCCATACAGGACCTGTATTACAACATTCATAACATTCATTACCTTGTGACTTGCATACCATTGATCTCCCGATAATCTGGTTTTGCCTCATTTGTTGACATATCACGCAGCGATTCAGACCATCAATATCTGATGCTTCGTTTTTGCTGGATGCCATTCTGAAGCTGGAGTAGGTATTGGCGTTATTTGTAAGGCTGACATTCCATTAGTGACCAGAGGCAGATATCCAATACAGAGCAAAGAGTACTTGTCGGAGCTCGGATTATACAACCCGTATTTTGTATCTCGTTCTGACAATATTTGTGATGTCCGTGTATCAGACTCACCTCCGAGTACTCTCGCCTGTATTATCACCACTCCCTCTGTTCGCTGACGCTGTGCTCCCCGTTCCAGGTGGTCTGAGCGCAGAGCGGGCGGACAGCTCACTGCCTCCCCTGCACGAGATCCCCCTGACGGGTAGCCCGCCGTCGGGCCGGCCGGGCACCGCCGACCGGGCGACGGGCGCGCCGTCGGGGCGGTGGCCGGACCCGGCCGCCGGCGCCGAGCCGCCCACCTGCCCCATCTGTGGCCAGGTGTTCCGGCCGCCGGCCACGCGCCGCGAGCTCGAGGACCATGTGTACGCGCACGTGCTGGACATGACGGCTGAGGAGGAGGCGCTGTCGGCCGACCTGTCGCCGCCGTCCTCCGCGGCCGCCGCCGCCCGGGCCGCCGTCTAGCTGTCGGCCCGGCCGCCGCCGCCCGGGCCGCCGTCTAGCTGTCGGTCCGGCCGCCGCCGCCCGGGCCGCCGTCTAGCTGTCGGTCCGGCCGCCGCGGCGCGGGCCGCCGTCTAGCTGTCTGCCCGGCCGCCGCCCAGCTATCGGCTGTTGGTGAGTGTCGGCTGTCGTTGAGCCCCCGCCCGGGCGAGTGTCGGTCCGATGAGTGTCGTTTGCTGTCGGCATGACAGACTGTATGACCGGTGCTGATTGCAAGGGAAGGACTGGCCGAAGATGCCCAGTGAACCCAAGCTGCCTGGTTCGTCTCCGTCGGGACACGCAGTGATTAGCGTGGTAGCCGGATTGAAAATTCGCTTCGTGTGTTGGTGCAGTGGGCATCAGTCTCGAAGTCATCCGCGTGTGACCTTCGAACAGAGGCACATCGATATGGTAGGTTCAGTATCGGGCAAATGTGTGAGCGATAGTCCTGTCCAGACCAAAGAAATACGACGGAAAGGCGGCATTCCTATCTGAGGGCCCGATAGAACTAAGGTCGAATGAATGGAGACTGGCTGGCTGCAGTTCATAGGGTACGCGCAATGAAATTAAGGCTTGTGCGCAGAGCAAGAACCAAATTTATAAGAGGCTTTACACGGGTTGTCTCGTGAATGCGTGAGGGAACGTGTATCTTTGAGTCGGTATACATTCCTACTTCTTATTGTTATTGAACTAGTTATGTCTGGAGTAATTGTGCTGTGTGTAAATACCGTAATATTTACGAGTTTGGTACCAATGTGTGGGCCCGCTGAGATACATATCGGCATCAACTACATAGTGCTATTTTAGCAAGTCTTCACGGTACAAATGCAGGAAGTGTTGCATCCGTGAATGCGTGATGGCTATCAAGGAGCCTTTGCGCTACTCTTTCGAGGACGGACTGCGGCCTATTGCCGTTTGGTGCTAGCGCCGTTGGTGGCTGCCGCCGCTACCGTTTCCGTTGACGAGCTCACGTCTACGGATTGGTGCTTGGTGTGTGCGATGCAGAGCATTGCATATACGCTGTCAGCGTGCACTGGTGGATGCCGGTAAGATGGCCCTCCCATTGTTCAAGGATCCGTCCCAATCCGTAAGCAGCATGTCTGGTTGGGACTGCAGTGCAACTGCGTGTAAGGCCGAATATCTATTTTTATAACCAGGAACGTCATTATCGAGTAGTTCCACACCTGGATCGGTGCAGCCTCGGCATGTCGTGTTTATTATTTCTACTTGTAAGATGTATTGTTCACTGAGTACACGTTTTCCATACGGATTTACAATTATAATGTGTTGTTTTGGCATTCTCTTGGTGGTGTATGCTGTGATTGTAGACTCTTCTAAGACAGGATGCCTGCCTCATATGTATCTATTAACCTTCGCCCCAGTGGGGGGGGGGGGGCATATGTTACCACCCTGTCGCGTTTTTTTCGTATAAATAAAAAACCGCGGCGCGTAGCGCCGCGCCGCTTGGGGTAGCTTTTGGTACATCAATTTTGGACAATGTGTGAAATTTTTGACCCCAGGTCATGTCAGGTCAGGTCACTAGGTCAAGTTAACTGACCAAGCCCAAAAAAAAGTTTGCAATCATGTCCAGCCTGCAGTGTTTGTCAGAGAGGTTTCAAACTTGGTGGATTACATGATGTTATGAGTGCCTACAATTTGTATATCTCGGATTTTTTATATGCGTGACCTAAGGTCAGGTCAGTGGCGTGACCTTTCCATTATAAGTCAACGGAGAAAAACGAAAATGCCTCTAGATCCGTGTGTACGCATAGGAACAGTCCAAATATTTCAGGATAACAATGATTTGGACCACCCGTGACGACCAAGGTGTCTTTTTTGCTGATAGCCTCTTGAAAGGTCATCCGAGGTCATTTGAGGCTACAAACAGTTTTTTGCCAATAACTCTCGATTGGAAAGAGATAGAACGCTAAGGTTGGCCTCATTGTGTTTGTCTTGCCGAGACGCATCGACTGATATGCAACATGACCTTTTTCGGTCAGGTCATGACCTTGACCTGAGGTCAAATTTTGAAGTTGACCTTTCAAGGTCAAATTATAGTTCATTCGACGCGTCTCGGCGAGAGGAACACGATTCTGGCATTAGAAATGACCTAGCTTTTTTTAGTCAAAAGTTATTGTCGAAAAACACTTTTCTTAAAAGCAGCTATTTTTGGAATTTTTGCCTTCTGGAGGCTAAACCGTTGACCTGAGGTCATTTTTGATAATGACCTTATCAAAAGAAGAGTTCAAAAGCTATCGATTGCTTTTTCCAACGTTTTTCTAGCTATCATAATTCCTGAGATAATGGCATGTTTTCTGAAAAATATAATGACAATTCGCAAATTTTGACCTTTGATGACCTCTGGTGTCCCCAATATTGCTCTAAGATGAAAAATGACCGAAATACTTTCAAACGTACGCATCAAGAGCTATCGACTGCTTTTCACCGCGTCTTTCTAGCCCTCTTAGTTTTTGAGTTAGAGGTGGGTGGTAACATATGCCCCCCCTCACTAGGGCGAAGTTGGCGGAGACCGCCACTGGGGCGCGGGTTAATCAGTTAATAAACTGTCTCGGTATTTGCGTGAGTTTTGGGGTCTTACAGCAGACTTGACTAACATGCTCACCCGGAGAGCTCGAAAGCTTGGCACGATAGTTGCGCTTAATGAAACGTCCCTAATTATGTCTCTAATGGCACTGGAAAGGTCTCTGGCAAAGTTTATCGAGTATTTTCCACTTCAATGGCAACGAGCGGCGAGAAAGATACCTATTTCAGCTTTTCATTCTCCGCTGCTAACGCTAGGCTGACTACCATTTCATTTCCGTTGACTACCTTCTGGTTTATTTCCGCTGACTACCCTTTCAATAACCTTCTGGTTAAGACTATTGAAAGGGTGGCCGTTAACCTACCCTGGCCGCCTGATTTTTTTCCTATCTCTACTGGCATTATTGGCTATTAATGAAAACTGAAAATGGCTATTACTGGTTTTCAATAACAATTGCAATCTTGCTCTTTCTATTGCTTCTGCCTCTTTCTATTGCTTCTGCCGTATACTCGTGTATCGACGACAGTCGATGTGGGCTTGAACGGGTTTCATTATTAATAGCTCTGATTACTGCGTTGCGGACGTTATGTGCCCGGATGCTGAATGTGTTCTCGCGATGGTTGTCGCCCCGTTTCTGCGTTATCCTGTAACTGCGTGTCGGCCTGAGGCCCACGCATATCGCGGTTGTCTGTGAGCTGTGCCGCGTGCCGCAGTATCGTACCCACCGCAAGCCTTATCGGCTCTTCTTCCGGCCACCGCCACACGAACTCGCGATACATTGGAAGTACGGCGTAGTTCATTGTCAGGTGCATCACGACCTTTCAAACCGCTGATTTTCTAGACATTAGTAAAGACCCTATTTTAATGTCAGGGCAAGTCAGGGCGTTCTTAGTTATTTCTCTATATACCGTGTTAGTTATGCTATGTATGCCTCCGCGTAGCGTTTCGTTACGGAACACCTCGCTCAGTTTCATTGAGATCCGTGATCGAGGGACTTCAACTTCTGTCTGGGCGGCACAGTCGGTTTTGAAGTCACCATCCGTCCTCCCTCCGCCCGGCTCGGCTTGCCCCAAGATAGACTAATGTCCTGGGCACACTCGGTGGCTGATACGCCCAGAGGCGGGCGCGGTTCGACCGCGCCGCTCGCGGCACGACATGCCTGAAAGATTCAGCGCGCGGCCCGCGGCGGCCGCTGCCGGCGCGGTGGGGTCGCGCGGCCCGGGCCCGTCGCGTCGGCCTTGCCCGGCTCATAGCGCAGTGGTCAGTGTGCGGTCAGTCGCGGCAGGGACGGTGCACGGCGGGGTCGGACCAAACTGGAATCGGACTACGCACCTGGACACTGCCACATGGCGTACGTATATGAAAGCGGTGAATGTGTAAGATTTGTTTGAAAGCATACATTACTTTAGAAAAAAAAAACTTAACCCTCGCCCGTAAACGGCGATCTGCCACCTTCGCCCATGCAGGGGGGGGGGGGGGTTGGTGCGACCCCCCCCCCTTGGCGTTTGAAAACGGAGCGTCGTAGAGCTTAGCGGAAAAGACCAACGGATTGCTCTCGCCGAGATCTCGCGATTGCTGGTATATTTTTTGGTCCTAGGTCAACATTTGACCTACTTTTGACCGGTCAAAGGTCAAATTTTCGGAAAATAGACTTTTTTCAACTTTCCGCGGCGATTGCGGCAAAACGGTGGGAGATATCGACTTGAAACCTTCACTATCGTGTTCCTTGATCAATTCTCTATCGTTTGGTATGTATTTCGTTTCCCTAGCTCTAAAAATGGCGCGTTGGGAGCGCCGGAAGTCGGCAAGGTCACAGTCGGCGGCAGAAATTCGAAAAATCAAAATTTAAATTTTTGAAATCTGATTGTATTTTTGGATTTGGGAGGTCCATTTGCTCCCTATAGAAGCTAATATTGCTGCATATTCCCATTGAGGTGACAAGAATTAGCAAAATAGTGGTTCGGGCGCTTTTCAAAAATAGTACCGGACGCTGTTCCTCTTGTGACGTCATAGCTCCGTGACCTGACCTGACCCGGTCAAGTTTCTTATACCATATGATAGCCAATACTTGCCCCAACATGCATGGGAAGTTTCATCACGATCCATCAACCGATGGCCGTACCACCGGCAGGAAACCTCGGGCGTTGGCACTCAGTTTGTGAAAATCCGGCCGGAGGCTGTTCCCTTTGTGACGTCATAACTCCGTGACCTGACATGACCCGGTCAAATTTTTTTTTATCAAAAGATGCGCAAGGTTTGCCCCATAAGGTACCCAAAATTTGGCGGCGCTGCGCGCCGCCGTTTTTGCACTATTTCCGAAAAACCTCAGGGGGGGTTGCACCAACCCCCCCCCCCCTACATGGGCGAGGGTTAAGGAACTCAGATTTGTTTTTCAATAGAAAAACATTTCAAATGAATAGCGTTTTAACTATTGAACAACAAACCTTCGGTTATCCCGCGCCGGGCCGGGGGAGGGGGGTGTTTGAACATCCCCCCTTTGGTTTTTCGCAGATATCTCAAAAGCCGCTGTTTTTAGCGCACTTGTTCATGCATTTTTTCCACACATGTTGTGAAAATTTCAGACCCAGGGCTCTCAAGGTCAGGTCACCAGGTCAGGTCAAGTGACCTCACCTCAGAAAAAGTTTCAATCTTCGTCATTGCTACACCGACTGAACGATCGCCTTGAAACTTTCAGCGATTGATAAGAGTAACAGTAGGTATGTACAGAATGTATAATAAGAATTTTGATATCGGTGACCTAAGGTCAGGTCAATTTTGCGACCTCTCCATTATAAGTCAATGGAAGAAAATTGAAATGCGCCTCTTTTGGACGAATGATGTTCAAAACCCTCTCAAACATCGGTTTATAGGTAAACATGGCACGCTGAATCGGTAAAATGCACCTGTGACCCCTCTGTGTGCCCCTGAGGTCATCCCAGGTCATGAACGGTCACCAGCAGTTTTTTTGGCTATAACTTTTGATAAAGATGTGCTAGAGCGATGAAAACACGTCAGATGTATTCATATTGACGATACGGATCGAATGATATGCAACATGACCCTTTCCGGTCAGGTCATGACCTTGACCTGAGGTCAACTTTTCAAAATGACCTTGCAAGGTCAACAAATAATTCATTCGACGCGTCTCGACGAGAGGAACACGATGCCGCCAAAAGTAATGTCGTGGCTTACTTGAGTCCAAAGTTATTGACGAAAAACCATTTTCGTGAAAACTGCTATTTTTACAGTTTTTGCCCTCTGGAGGCCAAACCGTTGACTCGAGGTCAAATTTGAGAAAAATACTCAGAAAGGTCTGTAAGAGGCCTATCGAATGCGCTTTTTCGCGGCGCTGTAGGTCTATTGGTTCCCGAGTGAGCCGTTGGCAGTTTTCAAAATTATTGAAATGGCCTACATATGACCTTTGATGACCTCTGGTGACCTGACCTTTGACCTGACCCAAAAAAAATGAACGAAGTGTTCCCGTTATTATTTTTGACGCTCTTTCGAATGCCGTTTACCGCGTGTCGCTACGTGGCCCAGGAGCCGAGGTAGACGGGGGGAGGGGTGTTCACAACTTCAGACACACCTCCCCCCACCCACCCACCCCACCCCCCCCCCCCCACCCCCGGCCCGGCGCGGAAGTCGCGGAGCACCGGCAAGGCGCGGGTTAAGATTATTCGTGTGCTTAAAGTATTTCAACACTTTTTTAAAACTGATCCCCACTCTTATACCTATAAAACCATTTTTGTTATTTTCAAGACCAATCTTCGCCGGTTCTATATTTTTACGTGCCTACCGGCAGGTACCCGGCCCTGCCGTGTGTGTTTGGCGGAACTAGTGATCACCGTTTCGCCTCTACATAGTTAAACTGAAGATTGAAGAACTTTGCGAACAAGCATGTGCATCGTTACAAGACGCAGCGACTCCTACCCGATTTTTAAGGTCTCAGGTCAACCGGTGACCTCTGAGGTCAAGTCCAGTGCCCCAGTCCCGGGTACCAGTCGCTGTGTGTCGTTACGGCATACAGGGTGTCCCGAAATTGATGCGCGGTTGTTTTATCCTCCATAACTTATAAAGTGCTCGAATTTATTTCACGGCTTATATGCTATCATAGTTCCCATTCAGTTGCATACACGGCCTATTGCACTCTAGCGTGTCACGTTTCAGGTTGTCAAGAGTCTCTCCTTTGAAACAACGCCATGCCGTTTATATCTTCTGAAACAGCCTCTTCTCTGAGCTAGCCCGTGGAAGCTTGCTGAGCTCTTTTCTAACGATCGTCCAGATAATTTGGATCGGGGACAGGTCCAGACTGTTGCCAGACCATGTCCCCTTCTCCCAGAGGCCTGGGAGCCTCGCTCGGCACCAGTCCTGGGTCTTCCTGGCGTGATAAGTCGGAGCCCTTTTTTGCTGGAAAATGGCCCTGGACATGTCCGACAAAAGTTTGACTCTGGTTTTTGAACCATTTACCTTTTCCCTCAGCATCTTTGTGGCATCAGTCTTCTTCAGCACCTCGCTGACATAGTAATAACGGTCTGTCACGGTCTGTCCCCGAGGCACCTCGTGAAGCTCAGAGCGCCTCTGTAGCTCATCATGCTCCAAATGAGATTCTTCAGCAGACGTTTCACCGTCTCGACAGCGGACTCCTCAGAGCTGCCGTTGGCCCACATTTCGATCGTTCTGCAGTTAGGGGCTTAGAGACCACAAAGGGCACCTTGTCACTGAAAAGGACGCATCTCCAGTCCTGAATGGTCCAGTTTTTGAGGATCTTGGCGAAATCCAGCTGCCTGCACTTCTGGACCACGGTAGGCCAAGTCTGCTTTCTGAAGCTGAGCAACTTCAGCTTCAAGAAAGTCTTCAAATACTGATGGAGGGTCGATTTGGATGCTGGGACATGCATCTCATTCATGTTTTCTTGTCAGCGATGTTGAATGGTGCTTTTTAAAGGTCGACTTTGCAATCACGATTTTCGCCACTCGGCTCAAGGCAGTCTTCCGCCCTCGAACGTGTTGTTCTTGAGTGTCTCTCCTGATCGTTTGCGGTCCATCCAACGTTTAATTGTCGCAGAGTTGACGCCCAATTGTCTGGCATCCGGAACCTGGGTCACACCGTCCTTGATCATCCCCACCGCGCGGTAGCGGATCGGTAGTTTGTGCCTTTTCACTTTTGGTGATATGCAGTTTCTCCACGTTGCCTGTCTGGACAAGAGTGGCCTCCCGCGCCCACTACCGGCCGCGGTCGGGTTAGCCGCTTGGTTCACGTGATCGTGTGACCAGCAAGATGTCAGTGTTGCCAGAGTCGGTAAAATTGCAGTTGTTCAGCACTCGGGAGGGACAACATAACATGCGGCACCAACCGCGCATCAATTGCGGGACACCCTGTATACACTCTTTTTTATCGTTTTGTAGGATCTAAGCTAAATAAGGGGCGAAACGGTGAGGGTAGAACAAACAATAGTAGAATAAATGCCTCAATAACCCAAGCATAGCTAAGCTGTTACATTGAAGTAGCATATGCAGTCAAGAACCAGGTCGTCATGCCCGTCGACATGGTTCTAAGCAGCTCTCCGATACATGTCTCCCAGACTTTGAACGGTTTCCGATCCGAGGAGTTCTATAGCCTTGTTTCCGATCGCATGCGGCTCCTTGCGTGACCTGACCGGGTTGAGCACTGACTTCCCATAACACCCATTATGGCCGAGCTCCGCAGACCTATCATATACGGCTCAATAAATCCATCGGTCGAGCGGCTCCGAACTCTCGGGCCAAGTGTTACGCGCCCGAGGCGCTGCTGGAAAATATGATAATGCAAAACTGAGAAAGTATCGCTGTTTATTCTAATAACTTTAGTTCGGTTCCTTATAATAACGAATATTGAACGCAAAGGCCAGACCGGACCTCACCAAAAGCCTTCGAATATTGAACGCAAGACCGGATCGCATCGCACTTTGTCCGGTAAGATTGACTAATGACTGCAATCTAAAAGACTTGTAGGTATCGGGATGATAACTACTTCTATTGTTATGAAGATATAAGGGCAACTTGCAGTAATTGGATGCAGCCTGAATAGGTATCCCGGCTGCCGAACTGGCCGATGTCATCTGTTGGAGCTATGCCCAGCCGGCAGACTAGCACCGAGTGCATCCACCCTTCCCAACGCTTTGGGAGCATGCACGCTGCAACCAATGCTCGACCCGATTTTCTATAGTTTCCTATACCTATAGCTGTCTCGGTAAACGTACGGCTGCGCTGTGACGGCAAGCTCCTGCAAAGGTCGCTTCACTCACTCCCCAGAGCTTCCCACTTCCGAGAGCTTCCCTGTTCCGTGATCCTGTTTTGTCGAGGGCCGGAGACGGGAGGCAGTCAGAAGTGCTTTGGTCGGGCGGGGGTGCAGACCAGATAGCACCGGCTATCGCGCGTGCTTCGTGCCTCGCCGGACGAGCGGGCCGCGTTGGGCTCATATCAGCTGATAGCACGGAGGTGTACGGACACGCCCTACTGTGTGTAACTGTGGGCGTTTAACTTTTACTACCAAGACTTGAAAACTACCAACAGCGTTTCTGAGCATTACCTGTTTTTTATTGTGGAGCTCAGATCAGGTTAGTGCCTTACGTATACCTTAGCATCGCATCCCTCAGGCATCCCTGATATCTCTCATACCCCTCCGCCACATAGTCCGCAGTATAGTCCACCGATCAGTCCAATTTGAACCGGCAATGTCATCTCGTGTCACCGCTGCGCTGTCACGCCGCTGTTTCCATCTTTCTATCTATGTATATAGTGCATGTCACCTATGTGCGCGACTGTCACTGCCGGTCACCTGATCACGGCTGAGCGGCTCACAGAAAGGTCTGTTCTGTCCGATTAGCGTCCGGTTGGCTGCCTGGGCAACAGAGCCCGGCCGTCGGCTCGGCGGCTCGGATGGAGAGCGGTGCGAGCGCCGCGTGTGGCCGGCAGTGCGACCGCGGCCGGCGGGAGACGGTGAGGGCGCGACCGGCGGCTGGGCAGGCAGTGAGGTCGCCGTCGGATAAATGAGGATAATTGTAAATGTGAGGAGCTGTGCCACGGAAAAAGCAGTTGACAGTGCGCCCGTCCAACGGATTGGTACCGGGAGTCGAATCAGCGGCGCACGCACTCCATCTCCAACCGCAGTGGGTGCGAGCTGCACCACAGCTCACCAGGTCGAGGCCGTGACATACTGTCGGCGCCGTCAAACATATTTTATAGAGGGACTCCGCTGAAAACTGGTGAGAAAACTCATCTGAGAAACATCCTGCCAAACTCTTTTATTACGGAGCGAGCGAAGCGAGCGTAGTCTTTCCTTAGATTAACGGAAATTTCTGAGTATGAGCGGCCGGCCGGCCGGCCGGCCGGCCGTGGTCACGCTTTTGCGAGGCTTATATCTCAGCAACCACTTGACCGATTTACACGCGGTAATTTTTGTAGGGTAGCTTCATTCCTTCTACCAAGTATTGGACTATTCCCGATGCATGTGGGTGACCCCTTATGCACGTGCCACGTGCAAAACGAAGAGGTGTCAGTTTTGTAATTGTTGCAATATCTCGGTAACTACTTGGCCGATTGCGCTGAAAGTTGGTATGTAGGTAGTCACCCACTAGGCACTGCATATACATGTGCCAGAGTTGGGGTGCTGCTGCACGTGCGCACGTGCAGGGGTCGTTTCCAGATCTCGGGAACGGCTGGACCGATTGCGCTCAAATTTGGTACACGGTTAGGGACCGGTTAGTAGGGTGCCGTGCACAAGTCAGTTGGGACCCATTTTGCACGTGCGCACGTGCAGGGTGCCGCTTCCAGATCTCGAGAACGGCTGGGCCGATTGTGCCCAAATTTGGCACATCGCTAGAGACCAGTTAGTAGGGTGCCGTGCACAAGTCAGTTGGAGGTACCCCCTCGCAATTTCGCACGTGCAAGGCCCACCCTCTCGCTCGCTCCGTTAGTCGCCCCAAAAGGCGTTATACTGGTGATAATCATTCATTGGCATTGAAATGTTCTGCCTGATGATATGAAATGAAAAAGTGTGCAATTTACTGTTTAGGTTAGGTGTAGGCTTATGTCAGCACTGCAACTTGCTCCAGAGCAGCACCAGACCGTCTTCCAGGTGCTCATCGCTCACCTGTTACAAGTCTTACACTCTACCAGCCTTATTAGATAGGATATTATTGTGTGCTTTCGGCTTTTCGACAATGACAATAAATTATATCGAACTAAATAATTATGTGGTGCTCCTGAAGACCAATTCGATCGTCAGTCAATAGTGGCAGGGTTTTGCTCGGTATGAAAGCAGGATAAGCGGTACATACAAGCATATAAGTTGTAGCGGTTACAAGCTTTCTGACGCGTCTAATTTGGTCTGCCACACCCAGATAAATGTCGACCTGTCCAGTGTCCACCCTGGCAGAGCTGAGCCTCGGCCCTCAGTGGGGGCTCGGGGGAATGTCCGTCTCCCAGTCTGTAGCCGGCGTGGTGGTGACTGGTGAGAGCCCCGGGTCCCGCCGCTGCGGAGCTCGCTCTCCGGTTCCGACGGGGATGTCCTGGCCGGTGGCCGTGACCGTGTTACCGGTCCGATATTGAGCAAAACATGTCAGCGGGGCGAGCCTGTGGTATACTGCTGCTGCGGCTGTGTGGACTCGACACGTCAAAATTCTGCCGTGGAGAACAATGGTCGTACGGTATATGAAAAATCGCCCATAACACCAAACTTTGCACTTGTCGTGAAGTTTCTGATCTCTAAAATTCGCCCATTAAAATAAATGAAATTATATTTCTTCAGAACGTATGGGCAAGTCCGTTAAATACTATGCTAAATTCTAGATACCTACGCTGTTTCTAGATAGTTGTTCATATAGCGTATGGAATGGTAAAGGTAACATGGTTAATTACTAAGTCGTCTCCTTCTCGTATTAGCTCGCAAGCCATCGCCGAACACAGGCATGTAGGAAACTATATACTTCAACTATCATATTTCCTCTTTTTGTCCTACTCCAGACCTGAGTGTAACAGGCCACTCACTGTTGTATATGTATTGTCGCAAGAATTGCCCTTGCTCCGAGTGTCTGTATCACTCGTTTAGGTATATTCTGATGTCACGACGCTGACTCTGGCGTTACTTTGCTTCTATAACATAACTCATAGGTCATTAGGTCATCGTGTGTTCGTAAATAATGTAGGGATGTATTAGGCATATCGTGTACATGCCTACATACACTATTTACCTGCCTACACTGAGCACTCTCTACATACATAGGTACTAGGTATCACAGCCACTGCGATCGCCAACTAATGACCATCTCAGCTCACTTTCAGCTCCTGTTCGCATTTTAAAGGACATCGTAATAGATGAGATCGAGGAGTCATGACTTCGTTGGACTTAACCTTCCAGGCGGTGGGGGGGGGGGCATTTTTGCCCCCCCTTAGTTTTTTTTCGATATATCTCGAGAACCGCTGCGCCGATCGTCACCAAACTTTCAGTACCCTCCCGTGAATAGCTATTGCACATTGTGACCAAAAATTTTCCAAAGGCTATGCTAGGTTGGACACTAATGACGTCAGAGTGACGTCATTTCTGCCATTTTCGACCCAAAAAAGGTTTTGCGAGAAGAACTGTCAGGCCTACAGCTTTAGAGATACAGAAAAATGTTTTGGACATAAAAGGTGTAGAGTTTAAAGGGCTACAAAACTGCTATCTCGGATTGTGAAATTTTTGAATTTTGACCCCCAAATATAAAAAATATATTTTTTAAATATAATAGCCGAAAAATCCAAAAAGTGTTTTGAATTTCGAAAAAACCGGAAGATATGTGATAGACCCTATGGCCTTCTATCTACATACCAAATTTGAGATCGATACCTCTTTTTTGGCCAAATTATATCGAAAAAACAGTTCAAAATTGATGACGTCAAATTTTCAAACTCAATTTTTAGCAATTCTAGACCTCGTAGCGCAAAACAAAGACCACCATTAGACTCCCCGTGACGAGCTGCATCGAATCAATACCCATTTTATGCAAAAATATCAACTTCGAAATTTGACCTTTTTGACCTGATCATGACCTGACCTCCACCAGAAAGTGACCTGAACCGTACCTGATGGTCTTATAAACCAACACCATTGAGTTGGAAATGAAAAACTGGCTATAAAACATGCATCGCACAACCTTAGTAAAGTTGGGTTTATGTGGTGACCCTTGGTGACCTTTGATGACCTGACCTGTGACCTGACCTGGTATGACCATTGACCTCTAATAGCAACACATTTACTAGACAACTGACGCCCCATCGCTGATTTTCGACAAAATGCGTTTTACTCGGTGTTTAGCGCTTTCCCTAGAAGCCCCGTGAACGGTGAAACATTTTATCTTTGACCTGACCTGTGACGTCATCGGTAACCCAGAGGTCAATGAAATTTGGTTTCTTACGACAAATTTGACAGGGCTATCGAACGCCGTTTGAATTTTCCGGATCCGTCCAGTAGTTTCGGAGATACGGGGGGGGGCAAAAAATGCCCCCCCCCCCCACTGCGCGGAAGGTGGCCGGGAGGCCCACCGCCTGCCGGGTTTACCCACGCCCCGTTGGGGGGGCTAATTTGCCCCCCCCCCCTGTGGTTTTTCCTGAATAGCAAGAAAACGGCGGCGCGCAGCGCCGCCAAATTAGTACCTTCCCGGGCTTCAATTTGACACCTTCACACCGAATTTCAAGTCTTAGGTCACCTTAGGTCAGGAGTTTTTGAGGTCATGTTCGAGCAAAAGTGAGCAAAAAACATGCAATCTTGAAACGCTCACCAAATCTACAGTTACCAAGCAATTTCAAAGTTCTTTATATGGTCTAGTAGACAAAAAGCAGCGCTACAAAACTGCTATCTCGGATTTTTAAAATTTTGGGGTTTGAAATTAAAAAAATTGTTTTTTTTAGAAAAACTCAAATAAATCCAAGAAAAATTCCGAATTTCAAAAAAAACAAATATATATGATAGTCTCTGTGCTCTTCTATATACCTACATACCAAATTTCAGATAGATATCTCGTTTTTTGGCCAAGTTATAGCGAAAAAAAAACTGTTCAAAAATGATGACGTCAAATTGTTGAACTCAATTTTTAGCGATTCTAGACCACGTAGGGCAAAACAAAGACCACCATTGAACTCCCTGTGACGAGCTGCATCGAATCGATACCCATTTAATGTAAAAATATTTACTTTGAAATTTGACCAAATTTGACCTGACCTTGACGTGACCTTGACCTGACCTTGACCTGACCTTGACCAAAACGTGACCTAAGCTGGCCCAAAAGTCTGCCTGACCCACATAATCGCATTTGTCATGTAAAATGGACCATAAAACATGCATCACATGACAGTTTCATATTGTGACCCCCCAGTGACCTGACCTCTGTGACCTGACCTGGTATCAGTGACCTCAAATAGCAAAATATATGTTTGAAGAACATTTCCCCATCGATGATTTTCAATGAAATGCATTTTACTCGATTTTACAACGCATTTCTTGAAATGCCTGTAAACGGTGAAAATTGGACCTTTGACCTGACCTGTGACGTCATCGGTTTGACCTAGGTCAATAAAATTGGGTCACAAAGAAAGTTCCCTGAAAGGGCTATCCAACACCGTTTGCCGCTTGTCGCTAGGTTGCGTGGTTCTCGAGATCTTAGGGGGGGGGGCCAAATTGCCCCCCCCCAACGGGGTGCGTTACTCGGCAGAGCCCAACGGGGCGCGGGTTAAGATGAGAATGAACCTTATTAAAAGGCACATAGTTGTATTGATCATTTAATAACATTTTCAGGTCAAGGTTACATTTTTCTCTTTTCTTGATCAGGGCCCAAGACGTTTCTCAAAGTTGATCTACCATGATTGCGATTGATGAGATCGAAGAGTCGTGACTTCGTTGGACTTAAGATGAGAATAAGATGAGAACTCTGTGCCTTTTAATCAAATTCATTCTCATCTTATGTCCAACGAAGTCATGACATCACTAGTTATAGTCAAATGGTTCATAAGAGGTGTCGAGTGCCTTCTCTAACGACGAATGCAAAAAGAGAATGACTTGCTAAAATTCATTTGAACGGTCGTCAAAGAGAAAAAATGTTCACTAATGCAGGGTCAACCAAAAGTGCACATCATAATCTCAATGCGTTTAGCTACTTTTTATTCGGTACTTTATGACAAGTTATTGACATTGATTGTTTTTGGCGAACGTCAGTCTTCATGATCTGTCGTCATCTAAAATCAGTCTAAAACATATTCCGTGAATACATAACCCCGCCTAGTGCCTTAAAATCCCATTAAAGTCGGTAGGTATTGGTGTGCCACTTGTGCGTATTGTGTATGGCTCGAGCCCGAGCCATACATGTTGCGTATAGATGGAGCGAGCGCCTTGCTCGCTGACATGAGTCGGACAGTGGAGAGACCAGTGTGAGTTGTGAGGAGTAGAGTAATGCAGTAGTCTATGTAGAGACTTATACCTCAAGACGGATTGATGTCCATCAAGGCATCAAATGTCTTGACATTTGCGAAAATAAAAAGGCGTTTTGCCATTCATATGATGTGGCTCATACCGGCAGCATGTACAATGTCTCTGTAAATGTCTCGGTGAATTATTTAAATGGCATGACGAGTCCCATTAATGGAGCCAATGCTTTCGTCGCTTTATTCGACTCACCTTTATCGACGTGGTTCCCGTAACAGTACAGCTGATCATGCCTAGAACATTCTGCATCTTTTCATGTAGGCATTGCAAAGAGCGGATGCGAAAGAAATATCAACATTGCTTTTGTGGCTCCTGTTTTGTAGCCTTTTCAGCCTCCTAACTTTTTATTTTGCCTATCAGTTACTTAAGTTCTCCTTCGTTCTTCTTGCAGTTCTGTGCGTTTTATCTGTACCTATATCCCTCCCGTTTTTGTGTAAGAGCTATTTTCCCATACACTTAACCCTCCCACTGTGCTGTGGTTATACTTACATGTCCCAAAACGTCCCATGTCCGATGTGTGTGTGCGTGTGCCCGCTCAGGTGGCTGGTGGGCAGCGGGTTCCGGCGGCTCTGGCCGGCCATGTCCGACGGCGGCATGCCCGAGGTCAGCGTGGACCAGGGGCCCGCCCGCCGGCTCAGCTGGACCAGCGTGCAGCTCCCGGCCGCGCTGGCACCGCACGACAGCCCCGCCGCCTCGGCGCAGAGCTGCGCCAGCTCGCCGGCGCCGCCGACGCCCTCCTTCCCTCCTCCGCCGCCCTCCCAGCCGCCCGCCAGCGCGTCGACCTCCTGCGCGACCCTGCAGCTGCCCGTGTGTCCACCGGCACCGCAGGACGCCGAGCCCGCGGACGAGGACTCGCTGGACGAGCGCTGCGCGGTGGGCGCGGCCGCTGCGCCCGGGCCGCCGGCCGCTGACGCGCTGGCCGCCCGCCTGCGAGCCGACTCGGTGGACAGCGGCGACATGAGCGTGCTGGGCGTGGCGCTGGTGGCCAACTGCCACGTGTCGCTGGTGATTTTCGGCCTGTTCTTCCTGGCGGCCGGCAGCCTGCTGTGTGTGATCGCGTTCCGCGCGCCCACCTCGGCCGCCAACGACGTGCAGTCGCGCGTGGCGGGCACGTTCTTCCTGTGCCTGGCGGCCGTGATGTGCACGTTCGGACTGTGTCTGTGCCGGCTCGACTACCAGCTGTCGCGGCGCGACCAGGAGAAGGGCGCCGCCGACACCGGCGACTGCTACATCCACGACGACACGAGCCGGTGTCACCGGGTGCTGCCGAGCATCCAGCGCGCGCGACGCTCCACGCAGCGCGCCAAGCGGCACGTGCTGCGCCAGCTGGACGAGCGCTGGACGTCGGCCGCCGCCGGCCGACACCGCGAAAAGACCTTCTCGTCCATAGAGCTGCTGACGTCGGCGTCCACGGAGTCCGTCAGGTGAGGGAACTGGACTCAGAGTCCGTCAGGTGAGGGAACTGAACTCAGAGTCCGTCAGGTGAGGGAACTGGACTCAGAGTCCGTCAGGTGAGGGAACTGGCCTCAGAGTCCGTCAGGTGAGGGAACTGGACTCAGAGTCCGTCAGGTGAGAGCGAGCCGTGGACTCAGAGTCTGTCAGGTGAGCGATCTGGACTCAGAGTCCGTCAGGACTCAGGTGAGCGAGCTGCAGACGCAGAGGATCGTGAAACCGCCCCAAATAGGTGTCCTACACGCCGTTGTTACATTAATACTACATGCTTTATTCACCGCCTTGCTGATTTTCCTTGTTCATCAATTTAAGTTTACTATAATTCGTGTTTAGTTAATTACTCCCTTTCACTTTGTTGGTTGCAAATATTGACTTTATGGGTGATATACCTAGTACATTTGCTCTTGTATATGTTATATAATCGATCAAAGTTGATGGCTTAGACACTAAGCCTGGATCAGAAGCACTCTAATCCGTTTCGTTAGAAATTTATTTTTCGAGAAGTTTTTCAACGGGAGTCGGGATGAATTTTTTCAGTAACCTGGTGAGCCTAAGTGATAGCCTTGTCTTTCAGAGCTATTCATCCCTTGTCTATCTATTTAACTACACAGCCGCCGTTTGCCTTTATTCACAGGTGTGGGAAGTGTAACGAAGCCTCGTCGTCCTACGGTGCAATGGAAAGCTCAGACGTCGCCAGCTTTCCGTCCTGAGGCCAAGTCCAAGCACTTGTGGCGCATGGGGCCGTTTAGATACACACGATGGCTGCCTCACAAAACCAGTGCTCACTGCTCGTATCTTCAAGGGCCGACGGATTTTGCACGGATGTGTCAATTTTGTTAATATGCGAGAGAAACGTTAAAGGAAATAGTTCACTTTCACGAAATTATATTTTTTGCAATGGATTTATGATTTTTCATGTTCAAAATGATCAGCAAAGAAAATAAAACCTTTTTATAACAAAATATTATTTTCTATATTTTTGATATAGGAAGAACTTTTCAGTTTCTGTAAGGCACACGCGATCCAGTATGAAAAGAGCATGGGTCCCGAAAATTCTTCAGAAGCTAGAGAAATTATCGCGGCCACCGGCATTTGGGCGATCTGCTCATGCTTTTGTTACTGGAGCGCCTCTGAAGAATTTTCTGAATAATTTTCTTTTGTTACTGGAGCGTTTCTGAATAATTTTCGGGACCCATGCTCGTTTCATACTGGATGGAAATATATGCAAGGCACACAACCTCAACGCAAGGCACCTTTTTCGGGACGAGAAATAGAATATCTTTGCCTAGGGTGATCGTTGGGCTGTAAAAGCTCCTGATTTATGCTCGTCTCAGCCCAAGCTACGGAACTGCTATTCCAGTTAAAAACCCATGTTAAAATGTGAACTATTTCCTTTAATGGTATTGGCTTACGTATTGGCTATGGTATTGGCCAAACGTTACCGCTATTGGCTTCGGAACAGGTGACATACCTACATACTGAATACTGGTATACTTACGTGAAACAATCAGAATTCAGAATGATGTCGCTCAACTCGCTCGCTGTGAAGTGCTGAAGTGTCTTTTATATTCAATCTTGTCAAACGTGTTTCCTGAAACGTAATACTGTAAGTATGGTATATACATTGTGCACTTTGTTGTTGCTACCTTTATCGCGCACTGTATTTGTACATAACTGTTATGAGCAATAGCAATACACTGCTACGAATAATTATGGTACTCGCTTGTTTTTTTTTTCTTTCGCGTAACAACGTCGCCCATTAGGTAAAATTGTGCCCCTAATTGTGCTATAGCGGGCTGCGTTTGTTTGGATCAATACACGTGTCGTGCCCGTATTTAAAACACCTATGTAAATATAAAATTGTGTGTTTCACTGCATCAAACGAGACATCGACAACGATATCATTGTCGAATCGTTGTAGTGTCTTCGTCCGATTACATATTGCCCAAGTGACCTGTATCAATTTCAACGCCAACACAACCATTTTGTATCATTTCCTTCATTCCGCATATCTAATCTCGGAAACAGCTAGGTATTAGAAATATGGGGTTAAATGTTCAGTGAAAACGTTCTTCGCCATTGAAATAGCTACCTTTCACAATAGCCGTTTTCATGACGGCCATCTGGTACATATTTGGTGCACATCTGGTGCAGATCAGGTGCAGATTTGGTCAAATCAGGTTCAGTGTGTCTCTTAGTAGCTATCAGCTAGGGTTACACTAATTGCTTATATGCCTGCTTTGTCGTATTATCAGAGAGCAGCAGCAATTAAAACACTGAAATAAATTCATCAAATGAAGATATTTACTGTAAAAGAGATTAGGTGCAGATTTGGTCAAATTAGGTGCACTCGCCGGATAGACCGTCGTGAAAACGGCTAATATCAAGCCGTTGACACCTCGGAAAGGTGCAAAAACCTACTTCATATGTTGTCCACGACTCTTAACGCGGTCAAACGAAAAGTATTACTAATAGGTAACCTATTGCTTCTGCGAAGAAAGCCTCTAACCTTACCAGTTCCATAGGCGGCGGAATGGGGAGGGCACCGGGGCACCGTGCCCCCTTTGATTTTGGCATTCTAACATTAGCCCTATGGGCGTTGCATGGAAAGAATGGTACCAAAAGTCGACAGTGATGCCCCCCCCCCCTTAATTGATGGTGTTCCGCCACTACTGACCAGTTCATCAGCTTGCGGAACTGTATAAGGGAGCTGTTTTGCTCTTGGAGCGCATTATACCGGAGCTAACCGAGGAGGAAATCCCAGGTGCACTCAGCACTGAGCGCAAGGCCATCTTCTTATTACGCTTGGTGAAGGTAAAAAATACCACACACAGTAGTTTTATAACGACTAGTTATGTGCGATTGAATCATTGATTGTACCGAACAAAGGATAGGTAGGTACTCGACTAAACATGCATCCATATTTTTGCATATCAACGTTTACCTATTGCATACAGCGCAAGTGCACGGGCTATAGGTACCTACCACAAAACGGACATTTTAACCCGCGCACCGACGCACGCTGGGCCGGCGGACCGGAAAAGCGCTAGAAATACCCCCAAGAGTGACTTTCCACACTATGAACAAAATATGTATCATTCGATCCCAAATTGATCAAAGCATACGATTCTGATGCCATTTTTGCCTTAAAACCCTCGCCGGCCGAGGGGGGGGGGGCGGGTGCCGCCCCCCCCATAGGGTTTTTTCGCGATAGCTCCGAACACGCTGGCGATAGAGAGCTGAAACTTGGCATACCTGACCTTTGATCCAAGCCGGATCTTTTGACACCAACCGCATTTTTGGGTCAGGTCAGGTCACTGACCTATGACGTCATAAGTGAACCTCTGCACGGTCTTCAGATGTCGCAACTTCGCAACGCCCTCACTGCCAGAGGAGATGTCACAGGGAAATGAAACTTGCAGGATCTAGTATCCATTATGAGTCCCACAACTTGTATATCTCGGATTTTTCCTAAAGGTCATATGAGGTCAGGTCATTTTCGTGACCTCACCATTATAAGTCAATGGGGAAAAATTCAAACTGCTATTCTGGCGCCGGGAACGATCTCCAACTATCTCAAGCACACAGAATCGTGATTTGATGCACTCCTTGCAAGGTTAGATGCGTCACTTTTGCAATGTTGACCTTGCGTGACGTCATTTATGACGTCATCAAGGTCATATTAGTTTTTCGTCAATAACTCTTGATCAAATTGAGCTAGCGAGTCGGGAAAGCCACCAATGGACTCAGGAAGACCTGCCGAATCGAATGATATGCGACATGACCTCTTTCGACCAACTTCGTGACCTGGGGGTGCTGACCTGACCTTGACCTGAGGTCAACACCCCAAGTTGACCTGACCCAGACGAAAAGTATATCATTCGACGCGCCTGAGCGAGACGAACACGATGCTGCCAAAATCGGCGCTCTGCGGCCGTTTTTTGCGAAGTTATTCACCAAAAACTGAACCGTACCTTGGGGCACTTGACCTGACCTCAGAGGTCACCGGTTGACCTAGGACCTTAAAATCGGGTACCAATCTCTGCGTCTCGTAACGGCGCACACGCTCGTTTTTTCCGCGACGCGCTAGCTCCACCAGGGGCGAAACGGCGAGGGGGGGGTCGTACCCGCCCCCCCCCCCCTCGGCCGGCGCGTATGTAGAAAACCAATAGGTCCGGCGAGGGTTAAGGTCGAATTGAGGTGGTCAGTTGTCACCAAACACAAGACTATTTAGACCCGCTAGTGGCCACCACATTCGCCGATTTTAATGCCAATCTTTAGTTGATATTTATTAGTTGACCAGTTGTCGTTTTGAACGCAATTTTCTGTCAGACTAGTTCAGGGCACTGTTGTTCACTGTACCAACAACATTCTTACATATTGCATCGCTTTTCTGCAAGATAAGCTAGCTTTTTGCAAGCAGCTGCAAGACCTAAATAAAAATCATATCTAAATTTTTAAATAGACTTTTATAAAAACGTTATTTCGAGCGGCTAAAAATGAACATCTTATACTAGCCTCTGATTACTCATCTTTCGTTCCATATAGGTGCTTTGCTTCTTTTCCCTGCTACTTTTCGAGATATGCGCAAGTAAACCATATGATGTAGGGGCAATTGTCACCTCGCCGCTCTATACTGACGGCCCGGCGCTCTTTAAAGCGCCGAAATTTATGAAAAACGAATGTTTATAATCTGAATAAAATATATGTCCCTGAGCTCAGAATTGATCAACGCACACAATGCTGTCAAAATTTTTGGGCCAAAGTCAATAATTAAGTCATTATGAGCCCCCAAACACAAGTCAGTGATAATCAACAACAACTTGCTCTTTAGTTAGACTTTTTTAGAAATGTTATTTCGAGCCGCTAAAGATGAGCATGTCATGCAAACAACTAATCAATTGTCTGCCATGCCCTATTGACGATTATTGCCTATTACTGCTACTTTTCGGGATATCGTCCCGAAAACGGGACGATATCCGGGATATCGTCCCACCCTACCGCGGTAGGGTGGCATAGCAGCTATATCAGGTGACTTAGCAGACGATATCCCGAAAAGTAGCAGTAATAGGCAATAATCGTCAATAGGGCATGGCAGACAACTGACTAGTTGTTTGCATGACATGCTCATCTTTAGCGGCTCGAAATAACATTTCTCAAAAAGTCTAACTAATGAGCAAGTTGTTGTTGATTATCACAGACTTGTGTTTGGGGGTTCATAATGACTTAATTATTGACTTTGGCCCAAAAATTTTGACAGCATTGTGTGCGTTGATCAATTCTGAGCTCAGGGACATATATTTTATTCAGATTATAAATATTCGTTTTTCATAAATTTCAGCGCTTTAAAGAGCGCCGGGCCGTCAGTAGAGCGGCGAGGTGACAATTGCCCCTACATCATGTGGTTGACTGGCGCATATCTCGAAAAGTAGCAGGGAAAAGCAGCAAAGCACCGATGTGGATCGAAAGATGAGTAATCAGAGGCTAGTATAAGATGTTCATTTTTAGCCGCTCGAAATAACGTTTTTATAAAAGTCTATTTAAAAATTTAGATATGATTTTTATTATGGTCTTGCAGCTGCTTGCATAAAGCTAGCTTATCTTGCAGAAAAGCGATGCAATATGTAAGAATGTTGTTGGTACAGTGAACAACAGTGCCCTGAACTAGTCTGACAGAAAATTGCGTTCAAAACGACAACTGGTCAACTAATAAATATCAACTAAAGATTAGCATTAAAATCGGCAAATGTGGTGGCCACTAGCGGGTCTAAATAGTCTTGTGTTTGGTGACAACTGACCACCTCAATTTCGACCTTAGAGCAAAAATGGCATCAGAATCGTATGCTTTGATCAATTTGGGATCGAATGATACATATTTTGTTCATATTGTGGAAAGTCACTCTTGGGGGTATTTCTAGCGCTTTTCCGGTCCGCCGGCCCAGCGTGCGACGGGGGTCTGCGCCAACTTCGCACCGACGGGGGGGGGGCGGATGACCGCCCCCCCCCCTGAGATCTCCAGAACGAAGCAAGATAGCGACAAGCGGTAAACGGCATCGGATACGCACGGTCAAGATCTACAATTTTTACTGAGGTCATTTTCAGGTCAGGTCAAAGATGACGTCACAGGGGTCAAAAAGTCAAAATGGCGGCGCTAGATATGGAGAGAGTTTTTCTCGAATAACTTTCGAATTAGTCAAGATAGAAACAAACTAAGGGCATCATCGTGATCCTCTCGTCGATCCGCATCGAATGATATATATATGTTGACCTCGAAAGGTCAAGGTCAAAGGTTGACCTCAGGTCACGTGAACTCGAGGTCATCATGTATATCATTCGATGCGTCTTGACGATCTGAACACAATGAGACCATCCACGCGGCTGTATCTTGTTCCTGTACGGAGTTATTAGCCAAAAACCTTTGGTGACCTTTGGTGACGTCACATGACCTCACAGCTGCCCAACAGCAAAACAGACCTCAAGGTAGTGAAGGTTGATCGTATATGAGGTCATGTATGGTATATGGGGCCATTCCGACCCGTTTTAGTGGTAAAAACAGGGAGTTGATTTCCCCCCATTGACTTATAATGGGGAGGTCGCAAAATTGACCTGACCTTAGGTCACCGATATCAAAATTCCGAGATATACAAATTGTAGATACTAATGACCTAATAACATCTTGCGACTTTCAAAGGCCTCCGACATCTACT